AAATTGAGTAGCGTTTAGAAGAGTATCGACTCAAACTGGGCACCACGATCAGTCGTAACCGTGGATGGAGCACCGAACATGGCGACCCAACGACTGACGAAGGCCTTCACGATGGTTTCAGCCTGCACATTCGGCAAAAGAACAGCTTCAGCCCAGCGGGCATATCGATCGACACAGGTAAGGTGGGTGAAACCATTGGATGGAGGCAAGGGGCCTACGACATCCAGGTGCACATGGCTGAACCGTGCGTCGGGACTGGGGAAAGTGACTGGTGGGGCCTTGTTGTGACGCTGCACCTTGTTGCGGTGGCAGATCAGACATGACCAGGCCCAAGCTTTGACATCCTTGTTCATGCCAGGCCAGACAAACCTTTCCGCAAGGAGTTTTTGAGAGGCTCGGATCCCAGGGTGGGAGATTCCATGCAAAGTTTGAAATACAGCTCGACGCATATAGGCGGGCACAAAAGGGCGATGAATGGGAGTTGAGACGTCCCAAAGTGTGGTACCAGAGCCGGTGGTCAGAGGAACGTCTTGGAGTTGGATACCACTAAAGACTCGTCGCCAGGACAACCGGCTCGCTGTTGCTCAGCCGCCATGGCACAAAGGTCGATCCCGTGTGAGAGTTGGAGGGAAGACAGTGAGGGTCTGGACAGCATATCAGCCACCTCATTCTTCGTGCCATCAATGTGGCAGATGTCGGTGGTGAATTGGGAGATGTAGTCCAGGCGGACGATTTCTCTCGGATTGTATTTTTCCGAGTGGGAACGAAGTGCAAAAGTCAACGGTTTGTGGTCAGTGAAAACAGTGAAGTCACGACCTTCAAGGAAATGTCGAAAATGCTGCACAGCCAGGTAAATGGCAAGTAGTTCACGGCCAAAGGTACTGTAGCGTGTCCCGACTGGTAAGAGCTTGTTGGAGAAAAAGGCAAGTGGTTGAGTCGAACTAGCAAGGTGTTGTTGAACGACGGCTGCGGTCGAAGCATCTACCATCAGAGACAGCTGAGCTTCGGGAGCGGGATGCGTGAGTAAGGTGGCATAGGCAAGGGAATTCTTGATCCTCTCAAAAGCAGTCAGTGCTTCACCAGTCAGCTTGAGGAGATCTTTGGGACCAGAAAGCATGTTGGTGAGCGGCAACATGAGATCAGCACAGTTCGGTAGGAACCGGCGGTAAAAATTGACCATGCCGGGGAATCGCTGTAACTGTCGCTTGGAAGTTGGCGGAGGGAAATTACGAACTGCTTCAAAATAGGAGGGTAGGGGACGCAAACCTTCAGAGTCGACCTGATGGCCGAGGAACTCGAGTGAAGGCACACCCAACACGCACTTGGAGGGGTTGATGACAACGCCAAACTTGTCGAGGTGGTCAAACACCAAGGCAAGATGCTCTTTCTGTTCTTCTTCATTCCGGCTGGCCACCAAGAGGTCATCAATGTAATCGTACACAAAGGGTAGGCCACGTAAGACATGATCGATGAACCTCTGGAACGTTTGGGCGATATTCGAAGACCGAACGGCATGCGGATGAACTCGAAGAGACCGAAGGGTGTTGTGACGGCGGTTTTAGGGATGTCCTCAGGGGCGACTGGAATCTGATGAAAAGCACGCACCAGATCAAT